TGTCGCGCTGTGATGACGTCATGTACGCGCTTTCGTCGAGCGCGCTTTTGTGGACCGCGGTTTTGACGGGTCACGAAACAAAACATCTCCAAAAAAACAACAAGAAGAAAGTCTAGTTGCCTCCTGAAAATGCATCTTTGGGGCACATACAGTGTAATAACTTTGCAATGCTGTAAACCCTCTTCTCTTAGAGTTTATGGAGGAGGTGGCACATATATGCCATTCTGGTAGCGCTTCTCGATACCTTTTCCATCAAAATCTGAGTGCCAGAGACAGGATGCTTTGAAAGCTAATGGAAAGCTTGCTTCTTTCTTCCCCATTTTGGCAGAATTCAGGATTGCTGAATATGAAGATGTGCAAAATAGCTTGTGTAGGTCTGAATTGGCCTATGTGCATCTACAAGTCCAGTAATCTGTTTGGCTTTTAAGACCAAAATCATTGGCCATCTATGGAGTAGCTAACGGGGGCAATAATAAAGATCAAATAACCACATAGTTCCAGTTCCTGTTGCTTGTCCACCATAACTTACTCTGCATTATTGTACCCATGCAGAATCTCATATCCTGCCTGCTGTTCTCCAACAAGCTAGTTAATCATTTGTTTATTTATTATAGTAATTTGTAATATATCACTCAAACTCTAGGTGGCTTAAATTACTCAACCACTGTGGGACAAAATTAAAATTAAATTGACTAAGCTGTCAAGAATTGCTTTCGGTTGCACATTTGAAGTGACACAGTGTCTGTTACATTGCTCAGTTCCTTCAAATAATCATAAGTAAGATGATATATCAAAAAGACTTAATATATTATCACTATTCAAATCTAATATATTAGATTTAATATATTATCACTATTCAAAAAGACTAATGTATTATCACTATTCAAAAAGACTTAATATATTAGACTTAATATATTATCACTATTCAAAAAGACTTAATATATTATGCACTATTATCACGGTCCTTCCGGCGCGCCCCAAAAAGTTGGCTTTTCCAGCAAGCCGGCCTGGCCTGAATAAAATAAATTATTAATTTTAATTGTTAATTTTAATTTAATTTCTAAATCTCATTGAAAATGTCTATTTTTNGGATGGAAAGCTGAGTCAAACTTGAGCTGGTCAGGATTGAACTTCTGGCTGTGGGCAGAATTAGCCTACAATACTGCATTCTAACCACTGTGCCAGCATTATCGGAATGGTATACAGGTAGTGCTACTCTAATGTCCACAGTTGAATCCAAAATTTCCATTCCTTAAACAAGACAGTTATTAAGTGAGTTTTGCTCTCAGTTCATGACCTTTCTTGCCACAATTATTACCGAATCAGTGCAGTTGTTAAATTGGTTTTAAAGTGAACCATTGACTCACCTTGTCAGGAAGTCACAAAAGGAGATCACATGACCCTGTAATTGTCAGCAATATGAGCCAGTTGTCTGTCTGAATTTTGATCACACGACAACCTGGATGCCACAAGTGTCAAAAATGGTCATAAATCAGTTTTTTAGTAGCGTTTTAACTTCAGTCACTAAATGATTGATTGTTAAGTCGAGAACTATCTGTATACAGTCCACCTTCCCTTAAACATTCAGAAAAGGGTACAGGTATTTCATGCTCTTGTGCTAGATTACATATTATTTACACAACCTCTTCTGAGGGAAAGGAGGGAGGCTGTATGTTTACACAGTTTGTATCTTGTGTAGAGTTTTCAGTTTTCATTGACCATCAGGAGGTAATATGTGATCAATTTGATCCTTACTGGGGTTTTTCAGATGTGGGGAGCCAGATGTTATTCTAAAAGGTTCAACCCCTTCACTGAGAATTGAACTTACAGATGTTCACGCTTTAGATGACCACATCCCGTGTAAGTCTGTAGAGATTCTCAATCATCCAGGTCACGGTTGTCCCAAAGGTGCGTTTTCAGGAGGCAACTGGTTTTTTTCTTGTCTTTGGAAGACGTTTCACTTCTCATCCAAGAAGCTTCTTTAGCTCTGAGAATCTGAATTTAGTTCTGAATGACTTAAGAATCTCTGCAGACGTTTAGTTATACAATTTGGGATGAACACCCTTTGAATGGTATGGGAGCAGGAATGGATTTCCAGGGGGAAAAATTGCAGACTACAGGAATCAGGAGACTACTCAGGTGACTGATGAGGACACAGATAAACCTCCAAGTGCTTCTACAGCCGTCTAAAAGAATGCAAATGACCAGCTATCTGTAAGGAATATAAATCCTTCCATTCACTATTATCCTGTCACAGCTGAAGAAGCTTCTTGGATGAGAAACAAAACGGTTCCACCACAAAACCGCGGTAGACAAAAGCGCGCTCGACGAAAGCGCGTACGTGACGTCATCACAGCGTGACGAAAACATCGTGCTGTGATCGA